TAATTTAATTAATATATTATTATTATTATTATTATTATTATTATTATTATTATTATTTAATCTAATTATTAATTTAATTTATGAATTATTCTTAAAAATTACTCTCAAATTATATTTTTAGTAACATCAAATATTGCACAAAGGAATACAGATAAAAATTTATTGAGAAAGACAAAAAGGGTTACACTAAACATCAAAAATTACTTTGTAAACATAAATAAGCTTAATTAAAAATATTATTAAAAAACATCAATATGACTTCAGAATTTGCTAAATTAAAAATACCATTAAAAACTTCAAAAATGACATCAAAATTTGCTTAATTAAAAAACCATTAAAAACATCAATAATGACATCAAAATTCCTAAATAATTACATTGAAAGCAAAATAAACAAATAAATAGAAAAAAAGCCACATTATTGGCGGAGGGGGGGGGGGACTAGCTCAGTATGGGCGAATATCAGAAAAATCAAAATTTGAAGAAAAACCAAAAACAAAAAGTGGCATTGACATTGTTGGGGGAAGGAACTAGTTCAAGATGGGCGAACACAGGTTAAAAAGATTATTGATTTACCATTGATGGAAAATACCATAGTTAATGATGAATTTCTTGGTTCTTTCACATTTAATTTTGGGTAGCGCAAATTGTCTAATATTCCTTAGTCTATAATTATGGTCTGGCGTTGGGGTTAGGAGATGATTTAATCTGTGTTCGCTCTTCTTGATTTTCTCAAAATAGATTTCAGAGAGATATAGCAATCTGTCTTAAAGTGGAGATAGGCCTAGTAAAAGAAGAGCATTTTTGTATGACATTCCTGGAAGAATGCATTTAATAGCCCTCTTTTGAATTGTTTCAATGATTTGTTGTTGTTTGAGAGTGGTGCCAGTAAACCACAAAGGGCACGCACACTCAGGGACTGACCTAATAACACTGCAATAATAGTGACGCAAGGTGAGGGTATTAAGGCCACATCTGCGTAATTGTTTTAAAAAGTAGATTCTTGTATTACATTTGGATACAATAGATTGAATATGGCTTTCCCATCCTAGGTCATCCTGGATCGTAACACCTAGAAATTTAGATTGACTAACATTGCCAATATTAACACCATTTATCTGAATCATTGGAGGTTGTGATTTTACACGTTTACAGCTAATTACCATTTCCTTAGTTTTCTTTTCATTAATCTTCATTCTGTTGCTAGTGGACCAGCTACAGATTTCCTTACTGACATTTTTAAAGGTGCTCGGTTCTTTACTAGAAATCTTTTCTGACACCGTGGTGTCATCCATGTATTTAACAATAGGAAGATTAACTTTAAGGTCATTAATGAAGATAATGAAAAGAACTGGCCCGAGCCAGGACC